TCACAGAACCGGCTTTACTGACGAGATGCGCATGACAATCACATGCGATTTATCGTGCAGCCCTAAGTTTGTTTGTTGATCACAAAGTACAAAATAGATGAGGATAACTAGGATGCCGGATGTATTCAAAGCGCCGCCATTACTGTCTACAGTGCGTGGAATGGTGTGCTGTGATTGGTTGAGCGGATATATCGCATTCTGCAGAGAAGGGAGACTGGCGTTTGTTGCGGTTTGGAAAGAAAGGGAGAAAACATGACAGAATAACTCGGCGGATATCGCATTTTGCGTAAAATTAAAAATGGACTTTTCAATACCGACCAGATACAATACTGGTTTTGGCGGAAACTCAAATTTTTTTTTAAATGGCGTTTATCGCGTTTTGGAACCAAACTCTTCAAATACATTACTAGAGCAAAATACTATTGTCCCATAAAATAAAAAATTAGTATTTATAAGAAGAAGAAGAAAAAGAAGAAGAAGAATTTTACAGAACAACAGTAAAATTACAATAGTAATATATTTGGTTGTCTTAATATCTTCGTATTCAAATGTTTGCATTCACATGCCCTATTTTGCAATTGAAATGGAACGGTTATCTGATTTTTGCAGGAAAGCGACAAATTTGTATCCTTGACAATCGCAAGTCCAAGCCCTTTGAAGAGCAATACACATGTCTCCTCAACAAGCCACATGATTTGAGGCATCATTCATGTCTCTGGCACAAACGCTGCAGGAGTTACGCACCGAAGTTGAATATTCAGAGTTTATTCAAATCTGTAAGTCTGAGCTTCAGTAATAGTGAAGCACACTTACTGTTCTAGGCTGGCAGCAGGCAGTCCGTTAGCACTATTGGGGAGAGTTTTGTCCTCCTGGTGGTCTCCTCCTCTTGGGATGAGCTGAGTAGGAGACGCATCCTCTGGGACGTCTTTCTCGTGGTTCTTCACCTCTGACCCTGGGACTGCTCCTTTGGTGCCGGTTTTGGGCATAACCGCTGGAACTGACAGGAAGGGCCTCACCGCCCCGCTGGGTTTCCTATTCCTCATTCTGTGCCTGAAAGAGACAGAAAGATGTGGAGAGAACGTAAGAGAGGAGGGGAGGAAATGGGGTGATGGGAGGGAGGTACGGCAGATCCTGGCACAGTCATGCCAGTGTTCTGTAAAGTGTGCTGTTGTGTTGGTGGGATCGCGTGGATGAGCTTGAATAAGAATGAGGAATGGGAGACGGGGGAAGGCGGAGAGGTGCGTGTGTGCCAGTGCTCTTTTGTGCATTACAGCACGAGACTGGCTGGTTATGGTCATCAAGATTGTGTGTATGTGTGTGAAAGAGTGTGTGTTCTCACTTCTCGAGCTCCTCCTGCGTGTGGGCAAAAGTGCAACTGGCCCCTCTTGGGCAGCCGCCCTGCTGCCGTAAGTCCCTGCACATACTCGTCTTGTACTTGCTGTTGGGTTGAGCCTGAAAAAGGAGAACAGAATACATTTAAGACTGTTTCAGAATGATGAATAAATAATCTGGTTATAGGTTGCATTTTCATAGTTTAGGAAACTTGAGTGTCAAAATTCCTTGGGAGAAACAAAAATAGATACAACTGAGTCAATAGTTGACATACAGTATGAGTACAGAGCTATTAAATTAATGTGTCTGTGATTACTTGTGACCTGCTCTATTATTTGAAGTTGTTTTCACCAAGAAATCTATTTATTTCTACACACATTCTAAATATATCAGAGCTTTATGCTCTGAGGGAAAATCTCTGTTTTCAAATTATATGATTATTATGTTTGTACACCAAACCATGTATAATAATTTAATTTAAAAAAAACTTTTTTTTTTTTTTTTACATATAATTAGAAGATTTATTTAAATATACATTAAATAATACATCAATAATGAAAGTATTTTTGAAACAAGATATTTCAATTAATTATAAATAAATAATACATACAATATTATATACAATACAGTTAAAAGGTTAGGGGTCTATAAGTTTTTTTTCATAAATTAATACTTTTTTTCAACAAGGAGATATTAAATTTATCAAAAGTGACAGTAAAGACATTTATAATGTTACAAAACATTTCTATTTCAAATAAATACAGTTCTGTTATTTTTCTCTTTCTATTTATCAGAGCAGCACAACTATTTTCACCATTCATAATGAGAATAAGAAATAAATAAGAAATGTTTCTTGATTTCTGGAGGATCATGTGACACTGAAGACTGGAGTAATGATGCTGAAAATACAGCTTTTGCATCACAGGAATAAATTACATTTTAAAAGGGCCTCAGAAGAAGACAGTTGAATGACAGGTATATCTGCCAAAAACAATATTAAACAGTGTCAGGACATCATTCATTGTTTGACTTTTGCTGATAAAATTGACATTTTTAAAAATGTTTCGGGCAGCTGTACTTAAAGTGACGTGGATTGGAAACAGTGCAGAGAGCTCATGCTGTACCTGGGGGCTTTCATTGCTCTTTTTGCAGAAGTTTTGGATGAATTCCACCAGCCCGTGGACAACAACCTTCACAGCCAATAACACACTCTCCAGCTCTGTCCAGGATGGAGAGGCCGCATCTACACACACACACACACACACAGGTTATTGCTATGTAATCTGCTTGCGTTTGCATCTCTGTGGAAGTGTGAGTGCGCATCCTCACCAGGGTTGTGGTCGATGCCGGCTAGCCGCTCGAGAGGAGCTCTGAGGCTGTTGAGGTTGGCGGTGAGCTCCTTTGCAAAGGATTCTGGGGATTGAAGCTGTGGTGATGGGGTGTAAAGGACGAATGCATTCAATGCATTCA